ACAAGTTGGTAACTTTTCGTGCTCTAAAACCATAAAATATTTTGATAAAAGAAGAGATAAAACTATAAAGTCTAAAAATAGTTATTGATAGTGGTAATTGTCAAGTCCTATCCCGCCCTCCTTCTTTACATTTGAAATTTGAATCACTAGTAAAAGTTAGGTCGTGGGAGAAAAAAAGAAAAAAAGAAACATATGTCCTACCAAAGATTAGTTGTCTTTGTCTTGACTAAATTTCAACGGTTATTTCTTTTTTATTTATGAAACATCGTTATATAATGACAAATAATGATGTTATATATTAGGCGTGAAACAATGTTGGGGCACCCATAACACCGAATAATGATAACGAGGAAACTAATTACATTCTAACTTTTCTAATTTAGATCATTGATCAAATCTACATTTATAGTTCTTATTTATAGCTAGAAACCGAGAAACTAAATCAAATTAAATTAGGCTTAATTAATTCTTTCACATTCTCGACACTCCTCCTTAAGTTGGTTTGAAAATGTCTTCCATTACTAACTTGCCAATCAACTTGTCAAACTATTTATTTGGTAATCCTTTAGTAAGTATATCCGTAACTCCGCTTCCGTTGTAGGAACAAATGGCATACAAATTAATCCACTCTAAATTTTTCTTTGATGAAGCGTTTATTAACTTTCACGTGCTTTGTTCTATCATGACATATTGGATTATGAGTAATTAAAATTGGTTCCTTATTGTCACAATAAACCTTCATTAGTGAAGGATTTGAAACCTTCAATTCTTTCAGTAGTCTCTTAATCCAAATTACTTAAAATATCCCATATGCTACTAATTAAAATTTTGCTTCTAGCGACCATACGTTGTTTCTTGTAGCATCAAGTAACTAGGTTGCCTCTAATAAATGTGTAGTAGCCGTAAGTTGATCTTATGTCCATGGCATCTTTTGCCCATTCAACATTAGTGTATACTTCGACTTGTAGATGTCTATTTTCCTAGTACAATAGTCCCATTCTAGGAGTCTTTTTTAGATACTTTAAGATCCTATACACAACTTCAAAATGCTCTTGTCCTATGAATACATGAACTAAACACTACATTAACTCGCAAAGGATATATTTGGGTGAGCGTGAGACAAATAGATTAGTCTTCCAATAAGTTCTTGGTATTGTTCCCAATTCTTCACTTCTTTGAATTTGATAGGTCGAAGCTTTATGTAGGGTTCAATTAGAGTCTTAGTTACCTTGCATTTGAGTAAACCTTTTTCACCAAGAAAATTAAGAATATATTTACGTTGGTAAACAAATATTAACTCTTTTGATCTAACATCCCAAAAAAGTACTTTAGGGGACCTAAATCCTTAATTTCAAATTTCTCAACAAGTTTCTTCTTCGGATTCTCAAGCTTTATATTGTCATCACTCGTTAAGATGATGTCATCCACATAAACAATGAGGATAACTATCTTTCTATTAGTTGAGTGTTTGTAAAACATGGTGTGATCTATTTGGCTTTGACTATAACTATGGCTTTTGAAATTTTTCTCAAAGTGTTCAAACCGAGCCCTAGGAGATTGTTTAAGGACATATAAAGATTTTCTTAGCTTGTAAACTTTGTTATAGTCTACATTCTCTTTGAAGCTAGGTGGTAGACTCATAAATATTTCTTCCTCCAAGTCTCTATTTAAGAATGTATTTTTACATCCAATTAATGTAATGACTAGTTAAAATTTATAGCTCCGGATAGTAAGACTCGAATGAAGTTTATTTTTCCATTTAGGCAAATGTCTTCCGAAAATCAATTTTATAAGTCTACATAAAACCCCTAGCTATAAGTCTTGCCTTATACCTCTCAACGGTACCATCAAATTGTATTTGATGGTGAACACCTATTTTCATCCTACAACCTTCTTATCATTTGGTAAGTCAACTCGTTTTTTAAGTACCATGCTTTTTAAGAGCATTCATCCTTTTCATAATCGCCAACTTTTAATTCGAATCATCTAGGGCTTCTTTAATGTTTCTAGGAACAAATAGATTAGATATCATATATGTATATGCTTTATGAATTTGGGAGAAGTTTTTGTAAGATAGATATTTTGCAATGGAATGTTAGGTACATTTTCTAGATCATTTTCTAATAGCTACGGGAACGTTAAGATTAGAAAACTCAATTTTAGAGTGATCATTTAGAGATAAAGATGAAATGAGATTACCTTAAGTTAGAAATGAATGAAATGAATTTGAGTCACCTTGGGTTCCTAGATTGCCATTCCTCTAACATTCGGACAAAACTGGTGCTTGGATAAGAGATGAGTCTTTTCTATTATGTTTGGTCCTTCTTTTGGTATAAACCAAAGCTTAGTGTTTGATTTATTTTGCTATGGTATTTCTCCTTCTATTTGTGAGAGATCTAAATTAGGTTGATTACTTTGGTTGATTGTTTCTTGCTTATATAGAGATGATTGGAAAATTATAAGATCCAAAATTATGTGGCAATGCATCGGTCGAAACTTGCCAAAAATTATCTTCCTCTATAAGTCTCTCCCCTAAGGAGAATTTTTGAAAAAGTAAGGTTGTGTTTCCAAAAACGTTAAATCCATACTTATAAAGTATTTTTTTGATAATTGGATTATAGCACTTATACCTTTTTTTTTTTTGGTGCATAACCAATAAAAACACATTTTTCAACGTTAGGATCCGGTTTCGAATGGTACCGACTAGAGATATGAACAAACACAAGTGCACCCGAATATCTTGATAGGTAAATCAACATACATTCTAGATGTAGGAAACATAGTTTTAAAACATTCTAAAGGTGTCATATATTTCAAGATTCGAGTAGGTATCATATTAATCAAATAAGATACCGTCAATAGTGCATCTCGCCATAAATATTTTGAAACATGCATGAAAAACATTATTGATTGTGCTACCTCAAGTAAATGTTTATTTTCTTTCTTTCTTTCAAGCAATGTCATTCTATCGAGGAGTATCACGACATGTAGATTGATGTAAAATATCATTGTCTTTAAAAAAAAATTCCTAAACAATTATTAAAAAAATATGTTATATTATCCGAACAGAAAAAATTTTTTTTTGTTTGAAATTGATTTTCAACCATATGACAAGAATCTTTAAACAACCTTTCCACATCATTTTTTTTATGCATTAGGTATAACCAACACAAGCATGTGTGATCATCAATAAAAGTTACAAATTATTTTTTTCTAGACATAATTGTAATCTTAGAAGGACCTCAAACATCACCGTGAATTAGATGAAATGGTTTTGATGCACAATAAAGTTTAGATGTATAAATAGTATGATGATTTTTAGCTAACACACAACTTTTACATTTAAAAGAAAAGCAATCCTCATTTTTAAATAAAGTTATGAATAAGTGTTTAAGGTATTAAAAACTAAGATGACCTAACTGGAGATGCCAAAGTATTGTTTCTTTACAAACATAATTTGAATGGATACCACAAAGTCCTTGAGCTTTTTTATTATTGGAGAGGTTATCTTCAAAATAGTATTGACCAAATATACATTTATAGCTCTTAATTATAAATAAAAAACTAAGAAACTAAATCAAATTAAACCAGGCTCAATCAAAATTTTGACATTCTCAACATATTTATTTGAGGTTAGACTTTCTTGTCCTCTCCATACTTAAGCCAGGCCTGATTGTTCATTTCTTATAAAATTCATTTCAATTTAATAAAATTCTAGTGCGTATTGCCCTTGTTTAAAAAAAAAAGAAAAAGAAAAAAAAAGTGGGAAATAGCCAAATAGGATAGATGCAAAAATAATCCATGTGAAAAAGTAAACCGGGAAGATTTGGTTTGATGCTATGAAGAAATTCACACGTGAACTCATAATTATAACAACAAGAATGAAATGACTTTTCAGAAACTGTCATTGGTGGATAGTGCCAAATCCCAAACTATAGGTAATTTCCTTGAAATTTCATGGCATTTTCTCGAATTTAAACAAGTGTCATGTCCGGTTTGTAATTTTTTTTAATCTTCTAAGTTCTAATGGCTCTGAATTCTCTCTTTTCCTTTAATTTTTATTTATTTATCAATTTTTTTCTTTGTTTGGTTGGTGTCTGTCTGTGTCATGGATGGAACTAGAATAGATGGATTGGTGAAATGTTAGTTGCATCCCATTATGAAATCTTCTTCAACTTCAAACATTTATGAAACTGGGACGTTAACTTGGGCCTGGTCCCAGTAGTTGGTGTTTGGTCTTTCAACTTGAGCTGCCAGACCTGTCCTAAGCATTGATGGATCGCACGAAGCCTCCCAAGGGTATAGTTGTAATTTGGTTCAAACAATAAGAAGAAAAAGTCATCAAGCTTCAGATTTTAGGCTCAAGTCACCAATATTTTTTTTTTTGGTTTTATTTAAATATTTACGTCTCGTGTTAAAAACATAACTAATTTTATTCAAAATAAAATGATAAATTAATAAAAAAATTTATTTAAAAATCACTTATTCAATAATTTATTAGTTTAAAACTATTTTTTTTATTCTTAGAGGGGAATCATAATTTTCTTTTTATAACTTCTATTAAAACACATTTTCCTATGTTTCTTTTCGTTTTTATTTGATGGTAAAAAATTTTTAAAACCAACTTAATGACTAAATTATACTTTCAGATATTTTAAAAAGATATTTTCTAAGTCGATTTATTACATGCAGATAAATAAATTTTTATATTTCTAATCCAAACGCAGATTTTATCCAAATACCATTGGCACTCCACAGGTCAAAGTCAACCACTAATAGTTTTTTTTTTTTTTCTCTATTTTTATAAGCGACAGCTATCTTTTGAGCCCACTTATAACCCTCCGGTTGCAAAACTCCCCACATCTGCCAGTGGGCTTCACCACTCCTCCTCCAATCGAGCGGCGAGTTTTGTTCACGACCGACTGGTCTCGTGTGGGACAACTTCTCATTCTACAAAATCCAGAGTTGAATGCCCTCTCTTAAGTCATTACCCGCGAAAAATGGCAAGTGGATATGGGAAAGACCAGCTGACCAAGTCCTATGATCACGCAATTCTCGCTCTTTTCAATCTTCTCCGATCGGCCAATAGAAATCGAGAAATTAAGTAAATTTAGATCATTTAATCCCAGAAAAAGAGGAGAAAGAGTGCAACGTAATTACAACAGCCAATAAAAATGGGAAATTCTTAGTCAAATGAAAACTTAATTTTCTTTAAACGTCAAATAAATAAATGTTAAAATTATAATATTATTTTAGAATTTAGACATTTTCTTTTTGATCATTAAGAAATAATTTAAATATATTAGTAAATGATCATTAAATAAATTGAAAATAAGGGAATCTTTCTCTCTAAAAAGGGTAAAATAGAGAAAGAAAAGAGGATTTTTGGTGATGGAAAGAGAGCTTTGACGGAGTAAAACACCATGGCCACAACCAAGAGAAAAAACCCAACATCATCAATAACTAACAACCCTACAGCACACGACTTCTAATAATAATTAATACTCTTTAATCCATTGTTAAAAACACAAAAAGCAAACCAACAACTAATAACAGAAACGTTAAACATTAAAAAAAATAAAAATAAAAATAAAAAACACTTCCTTTTGTGTCTTCCCATATTTCCTTGTTTTGAGCTGGTCTTTGTGGTCAAGAACCCTTCATCTTCTTGTAAATCTCGTAATTTGAAGGGGGTCAAGCTCCTGGTTTCATCTTCTTGTGAGTTCTTGTTTTGGCTATTGTAAATGTGGAGAGATCCTGGACAGCCTGCTGATTCATATTATCAGGTTCGGCCTGAATGCACGGATGTTCCGAAAACCAGATTCAAAATCAAGGTTTGTGTTAAAATTTTTTATTTTTTGAAATTCTTTGAATGCCCATTTTGTCCATTTGGATCAAAGTTTCGTTTTTTTGTCTTTCTGGTCTTTTTTTTTTTTTTTTTTTTTTGACGTTTGTGTCGTGCCCGTTTGGTTGATTTGGATCGAAGTTTTGTAATTTTGGTTCTTGCAGCATTCTATTATAGTATTGTGGGATATCCATTTGATTAATTTGGACCCATGTTTTGGAATTTGGTTAATCGTGGCTTTATCTTGATATTTGTCGGGCACCCATCGTTTGGTTAGTTTGGATTTATATGGTATTTGATATGTTGATGGATCAATGTCTCATAGAAAATGGAAATTATAGTTTACAATACGAGAATAACGTTATTATGATCATTGCATATGGTTGAGTTTGAGGAAACATGTTCACTTTGGATCAGAGATGAAATGGTTGTATGGTTAATGTATTAAGAAAGCCTTTTTTTTTTTTTTTTTTTCCATTTTAAAGCTGGGTTAAATATTCAATGGAATTGTACATTTGATTTGCTTAATCTAATTTCAAATGTTTAATGAAAAGAAAATTTTTAGTAGTAATCACCATGTAACTTCAAAGATCTTACGAGCCAGCTGTTAAACTGGTAAGTCTATATGTATACATAAGCTTGCTTGTGGTAAAATAGATACACAGTAAGGTTGAACTGTTCAGCACCAATAGTTTATATTGATTGGTGTTGCCAATAGAACTTGGAACATATTGCTTGTAATGGAAATAACTGAAGCTTCCTTTGGATTCGCTTTTGCAGGCAGGTAAAACTCTTAGTACAAGGAAATGGCAGGCAGCATTTACTCCAGAAGGTTACCTGGATATAAGCAAGACCCTTAGGCGAATCTACCGTGGGGTAAGTGTTCTTTAAAGAGATCTTATAATCAATTTGTGATTTAATTCTCATGATTGTTCTTTTCCCTTTTTCTTAGGGGATTCATCCATCAATTAGAGGAGAAGTTTGGGAATTTCTACTTGGCTGTTATGATCCTAAGAGTACCTTTGATGAAAGAGATCAGATACGGCAGCGTAGAAGGTAGACCATTTTGACTGCCTTTCACAAGTGTAACATATGGGCAAGAAACCACAGAAAAGGATCAGGATATACTTATTTAGTTCAATCAAAGTTGTCTTATTAATTGCTTCCCTTTATTGTGACAATGGGTATTACAATACTGTGACACAACTTGATACTTCCAATATTGGTACTTGTCACCATAAAAAAATTAACTTTTTCTTTGTACTAGGCAAATTTGATAACTTATGGACCATGTAGGTGAATGTACAAAACAGAAGACTACGCACTTATTAGTCTCTTTAATCCAACACTGGAGGTTCATACAAAATATTATACCGGGGACTTCATCTTTTTTGCATGTATATAAATATAATTTAGTCAAGTAAGAAACTACTGACCTTGAGATCCTCGTTAGAAATGTAGGTACTAATTTTGAGTTACACACTGTCATTACCCTTGTTTTTTTGTTCATAAAAGTTTGAAGTTTGGTGATGCCTTATTCCTCACTTTAGAAGACATTTAAGAGCCGTTCTATGTTGTACCTTCAGGATACAATATGGTAGGTGGAAAGAAGAGTGCCGCCAAATATTTCCTGTTGTTGGAAGTGGCGAATTTATTACAGCGCCGGTAATCACTGAAGAGGGTCAGCCCATTCAAGAACCGTTAGTAATTTTAGAAACAAATCAAGATAGAGGCCCCTCTCAAGATGGTAATTTTGCTGATGCCAATGGCTCAAATCAATCAAGAACAAATATTTCCAGTTCAGAAATGGTTAGAGACCTGACTAGCCGTGGTCCTTTGGACCAGAAAGTGATCCAGTGGCTGCTTACCTTACATCAAATAGGTTGGTGGTGTTCATATATTAATACATGTTTCTCTCTTCCTTGGTGCAAAATTAGTTCTTGTTCTCCTGTCAATGATTTGCTGTCCTCAGTATTTTTGTAATAACATGGAAATATAAAGCATTTGAGAAGACAATTTTCTTTTTGTTATGGAATATTTAATGATTAATTGATTTTCTCTCATTATGCAATATGTTACCTTGAGACCCTTGCTTTGATGTTATTGTTACTGTTTTACCATAAATCTCTCTTTTGTGGAGGATTGCATAGTTTGAGTTAAACTGTTCCTCTCAGGCTTTGGTTCCTGTTCATGTTTTCTTTTATGGGTAAATGAAGTCATTCCTTATAGATGGGGACTGAACTGCAATTTTTTAAGAGGGGGAGGGGGAAATTAGGGTACAATTGAAAATAAATCAATGAAGGGAAAGGCATAGAGAGAGTACATAATTTTTGGGGTTGCAAATATGTAAGTCTTATGACATTAACCTGAACGGCATGATTAAAAATTTTAAGAATGAAATGTGTAAAATTTTTCAAAAAGTTTAGAGGTTCCATGGCCCCTCCAACCCTCCACATAGTTCCGCTCCTGCACATAGAAAAGATATGCATGTGCACACTGTTGATATAAACCTGCAAAAATCTTAGTTAGTCATTTTTTGTGTTTTTCATTGAATGACGTTCTGATTGGACTAATATGGGTTGGTAGGTCTTGATGTGCATCGCACTGACAGGACGTTGGTGTTTTATGAGAAGAAAGAGAACTTGTCAAAACTTTGGGATATTCTAGCTGTTTATGCCTGGATCGATACAGATGTCGGCTATTGTCAAGGTAGATGAATTATTGTCATATTTGTGAATGTAGTGTCTATATATATGTGTGTGTGTGTATTTGTTTGAATTTGAAGATTATCATATCACTTTGCTTTGCCACTCAGCTTCTGATGTGGTCGGTACAGGACCTTCATATGTACATTATTGTGCATTGTGATGACCTGATCTACATTACAGGCACATATGAATTCAACAAAGTTTCAGAATCTAATACTTGGCATTTATAGACAAGTGCTAATGCTTGAAATATAAATACTTGACATTTTGAGATCCGTCTGTCGACTAATAGAATAAAAGACCATTCTCTTTATTTATGCTAAAATGTATGAGGGGTCCGTTGGCATTGTTGTTGGTTGCCGTGTAGTTGGTGAAAGTCTACCATTGAGAATAAGTAGCTGTTCTCTGCCTTTTCAAACTGTCGCATTTTTTGAGATAAACCACTGTGATGAAGAAAGCAGCCCCTCTACTAGATTTTTTTGCTGTTGCACGGTCCTCATGTGCTGCACAGGAATTCCAATCGCACTAGACGGTCACTTAAAAAATCTTAGTTTGAAAATCATTTTCTACCCCTTTTTCTGGGCTCTTCTTATTATGCATTTTCACTGCTAATTTATAGAGTTACTAGTTCTTTGTAATAAAAGTTACAAACCATTAGAAATGGTATTTTTCATTGTCTCCATTCTCCTGTAAACTGGATGGCCAGAGAACTTCTTTTCCCTCAACGGATAACCATCGATTCTGGAGCTCAATTTCTAATAGAAAATTCAGTGATAGTTACAAAACTAAAATACATTTTTTTCTTCTGTTTGAAATTCTGTTGGTCTGAAAATTAATATTGTTATGCATGCGCACTGTCATCTACACAATATAACCTTAATATTACACGAGATTTGAAAAGATCTGGATACTTACTGGTTTCTAATAGATTGAGCTATCAGGAAGTAGCTCCATAAATATCTTCTTTTTCTCTTTTGAATTTCTATGTTTTGGTTTTCCTTCTCTGAGTTGCTGAAGGTCATAATGATTATGCTTTCCTTATACAATGCATCTAGTTATGTCTACATTGATGTACTGAAGTGAAAATTCTAATATCTCAAATGCATGGATTGCTGACAGGAATGAGTGATCTTTGCTCACCCATGATAATGCTTCTTGAAGACGAAGCAGATGCGTTTTGGTGTTTTGAACGATTGATGCGCAGATTGGTACATTCTCTTATTTGTCTTTGTTTCTCTCAATTTTGTGCACAAGATGCTTTGCAGTTTGATGTTGCTCTTGGATAAAATACATAGCTTTTGCTTACTATTCTTGTGCTGGATTCTTATTGCAACGAATGGATGACTAGGTTCATTTCTTTAGGTTATATGAATTTTCAGTACTCATGTCTTTAAATGGATCTCTTGATGGTTTCAAGTTTCGTACCTTGATTGATACATTATTTACTTGTATCTCATGAGTAAATTACCTCTTAATGTCCTCATGAATTTTCATGGATTTATTATATTGCTTTCATAAATTGGTTTCTGGCCTTTGTTGTGCTAATGACTTTCTTCTTTCTTTTTTCCCACTTTTGTTAGTTATTTGAGATTTTTTTTCCCTGATTTGAAATAGTTTTTATGTTCAATCAAACTGCTTTTTGGGAGTTTCCACAGCTCTAGCTTCATTTTTTTTTCCTTTTGATTTCCACAGTCTCACGAATTGTTGTTATTTGGATTTTGAAGCGAGGAAATTTCAGATGTACCGAGAGCTCTGTTGGAGTGGAGACACAACTTAGTAATTTGGCTGAAATTACTCAAGTTATCGATCCAAAACTTCATCAACATTTAGGTATTGTCTTAAATTTATGCTTTCCCTATTTGTGTTTTAAGTCATACTCTATCCTATACAATATACTGATTGTTAATTCTTAAATCCCAGTGAGTTTAATATTAGTTGACAACTTAAATCTCATTTCTCATTTAGGCTTCTATCCCTTACACTTAGCATTCAGTCATGTCATTCATTTCATATTAGCTCTGGTCCCCTTGAACTTAAGTTCCTAGTTCTGCCCCTTCAAGTTTGGGTGGTGTCATAGATTTGATGCACAATATTCTAGGTTTAAGAGAGAAATGGAGATACATTTCTGTAAGATGGTAGTTTTGGCCTTCTAAAGTGTCACTTTTCCCAATTTAAAACCGGAAGCAGTTCTTATCTTTTATTTGCTTACCACTAGCTCAGTGGTACTCTTGCATAAGTGAGAGGGGTGAGTCTCACCTTTGTCAAAACTCTAATAAAATCGGAACATGGTCATTGAAAAAAAAATTCAAATATTTGCTTCATAATCCCTTTAAATACCATTTTGAATATCTAGATGCTGCATGGGAACAAGGGTACAGGATTGAGAAAGCTTACTCCTATGTGTGCATGAGTGTTTGCCTTAGTGTGGTATCAGCCATAATATAGTTTTGAGCTGTGATTCTGTAGCAAATGTTATGCCGCAATTAAAGTTTTTGAGTTTATTTGTCTTTTGATGTTCCTTACTGGTTTTCTCAACCTTCTTGGTTTATGCTAGAAAAAGAAAGTAAAGATGTGTTTTGATCTTTGAACACAGATGCACTTGGTGGAGGTGACTATTTATTTGCTTTCCGCATGCTCATGGTCTTGTTCCGTCGAGAATTTTCATTTTGTGATTCGCTCTACCTTTGGGAGGTATGGTTCAAGTTAGCTATATCATTTTAGTTTGGTTTATTGAAAAGAGTATGTATGTTCAGGTGGTTTGTGGATTGCCTGTAATGAAGGCAATGTAAAATTCTAATTTCTCAAATCCCAGACTTCTCTTCTCAATTTTTCCTTTTAATTTAAAACTTCCGGTAGAATTGTTTATCTACGGAATTGGTCTTGTCAAAACTTCAGAAAACTTGTTCTAAACTGATAATGGGTATGCATATTCTAGTGATCATTTCCTCACCCTGTCCTGCAGTTCATCACCAAGCTGTGGAGTTTATTCATAACTTCAGAACGAAAGACAGTGAAGGACAAATCTTAGGTCCTCCAAAATATCTGCTGAGCCAGGTAACTGGACTCAAGGCCTATTAATGAGCAAGCCCAACCCAACCTCCCCTGCTTTATTCCTAGATCTTCGATTCCCATATGTGAGAACAATTGCTACTCAGTCACCAAAACCAAAAGCCTTTCTTGTATGTGATTAGACATACATTTGCTTTCTTGGGTGGGTAGAAAAGGATTGTGGACAAACTGTAATCAGTTAAAGTCTCCACTTCCTGTGGCCACAGAATTTTGTAAAAAGTCATTGGTACCTAAGTGGTGTTTTTCTTTTAGTTTCTTTTACTCCTAGGCTTATAAATGTCAGTATTATGGCGTCTTCTTTTCTTTTATCTTTTGTTTCTTTCCATCATGTATATGCATATCTTTGAATGAAGCCATAAGCATAAGGTTTTTTTTCTCTTCGTAAACTTTTTGTCTTAGTTACCTATATTTACCTTTCTGCTTGCTGAACAAAAAATCTGCTTCTTCTTATATGTGCATATTTTTCTTTTTTAATCTCTACAGATGATGTGGGCCCTTGAATACGACCCTGATTTGTTCTCTATATACGAAGACCCAGAGTTGAATTTTGACAAAGCTGAGGGATCTAAGGGACGGGCAAAGTCAATACGGCACTATGGGAAGTTTGAAAGGGAAAATATGAAAAACGGGGCTGCAAATTCTGAAAGCCCCCTCCCCATCTCTATTTTCCTTGTTGCCAGTGTATTAAAAGATAAGAGCTCTAAGCTATTGCAGGAAGCTCGGGGCCTGGATGATGTTGTCAAGGTAAGCTTGATGAGTTGATTTCTGCCCTATGCTTTAGACACCTATAAAATGCCATATAGTTTAGGAAGGGCAATGTACCACCAAGCAGAAGCATCTAGGAGAAATTAAATAAGAGTGGAAGTGTGTAGTAGTGAAGACCTTCCACAAATTTGGTTGCATGCAGGGGGTGCCAGGTGGGTTGCTGCAGCTTGAGTATCACCCTTTCTGCTTGCATGTGTCTCAAGAAAGATAAATTTCAATTCTAGAGGGTCTCTATTTCTCTCTGTAGTTGCTGTAGTTTTTTGTTGCTTGTTAAGGATCAGCCTCAAACCCCAAGCATGACATTGTTATTTGGAATCTGAAACTGAAAATGTGGCCGAAGTTTGTCTGGTAACGTGGGGATAGTTGAATGAGTCCTACACAAGTCATTCATCAGCTCCACTTAACCGACAGGTTAACACTGACCATGCTTTTAGGTTTCTAGCATTGATTTATGCTTGCATATAGTGTAGTTTTGTAGCGAGTAAGACAACATAAACTTGTGAAATGTTTGGTCGGTAAATAGTAGTACATATTACCTAGATAATATTCCACAGGCTCACTATTTCTCCTGTGCTGTGAATCTCTGTGTATGTCGATATGATTTTTACCTGCTTGTTTTCTCATTTATTTTCTTTGCAATGCTTTACAGATATTGAATGACATGACTGGAAATTTAGATGCCAAGAAAGCATGCACCGGTGCAATGAAACTTCACAAGAAATATTTAAAAAAGGTGCTTTTCTTACCTTGGTAGTGTAAATCCTGATGTTGCATTTGAAATGTTCAATTAGTTGAAAAGGATTAGAGAAAGTAACCAGTTAATATATATATATATATATATATGCGAGAGTCCAAACTTTATATCAAGCATTTGTTTTTAGTTTTTCTCAGCATTTTGTTTCTATATCAAATAAATATTCAAAGGGAAGGGAGAAATTAGACTTATGTTTAGAGTTTTCTCTTTCTGAAGGAAATTGAGAAAAATTGAAAACCTAGCTACATCCTAAAGGGTTATAACAGCCCAATGTCCTGATTCCAATTGCTTGCTTATGATTTCTTTGTTATTGTCAAGGTGGTTTATACATGATTTCCTGGGAACTGTCTCAGCTGCTTGTTTATTAGCCAAGTTCTTTTGGTTATTCCTTGAACTAACGTTTCATCCGTTGCTCCTGCAGGCGAAGAAGGCATAGCCTATGATGAAACACATGATTTTTTTCCCCAGTAAATAAATATCGGGAAGACTTCATTTTGTATTTTAAATTTTCCAGTGATGACAGTATACTTCCGCACAATTTTTGGCTTGGAGATAACAGAACTGTACAATTGCTCCAACCTGCAAAATGGCCTTAGAAAGCAAATTGTTTTATGTAAACTATCCTCTTCCTCATGATAATCTATGTATAAACAGAACCATGTATCCACCCATGTGTTATATACTTTCTAATTTAATCATCGATGAAATACAAACAAAATCATTTGCGTGTATGGGACTTGATCTCTAATTCTGTGTCATTGTTTCCCTTTTGTTTTTCCATTTTTGGTAGTTACATTAACAGCCATAATGATCCCTCTCATAAACAATGGAATAGTGGATGTAGATTGTAGAGCATCAGGTCCCAAAATTGAGAAGGTCTTATATTCTCATGTGCAGAATTCATTTGGGACTTGGAAGAGGAATGTGAATTCGCTGAGTGATTGTTTTGGAGATTTTAAAGTTAGTTTTATGGATGTATGATACTTTATATTTTGAATTAGATATTTTATGATCTGAGGTATTCGTTTTTATGGAGTTATTGTTACTTTTATTTGGAGTTAAGATGGCTTTTAAGCCTAAGGGCATGTGATGTATTCATGCAAGGTGTTTCATATTTTTTGGTTTGAAGTGTGATAATTTAGTGGTATGAGAGCCTGCTTGATGTCAAATTGGGAATTGAACATGAAGCTTAGGTAGTAAGGAATTTGAGGAAAGGTTGATGAAGGAATATTTATCAGGATTGGTCTTGTGATCGGAGTTTATGTATTTGATAAACTTTGTCGATAGTTATATGGTGTTAATCTTTTTATTTTTTATTTTTTTGAGCTATCAAAGTTGCACAGCGAAAGCGTGATGCTAATAAAGTTATGTGCTTATTAATGATGTCTTAGAGATTCAAGAGTTGAAGTTATGGATAGTGATAGGAAATGAGTTCTGTCATGTTTCAAGGCCAAAAACTTCTTGTAAGGAGGAGAGAATGTAACACTCTAGCCCGAATAGTATTGGATTAATGTTCCCTCTTTTGGTTTTTGCAGCTGACCAAGTGCATGAGAGGCCGATCCTAGTCTATTTACGAAGAGCCTATTCAAACTACTCTAGTTTTTTGGGTGCTTCCTAATGAGCAAACGGGCACGACCCATGGAGAGGCGGGGACCCATCTAATTAAAAGGCAAAGCGTTGAGTATGGTATCCTCAAGATGAGGAATACCTCTATGCATTTTGAGGAGAGGCAGGTTTTTCCTTCTTTTGAAGGGAAGGAGGTTGTTTCCTTTTTTGAGGTTCAGCTTTTAACTGAAAGAGTTGAGACTTCAATAGTTATATTGAATGATGAGGCCTTCATCCCTGCTAGTGAGCCCTCTGTTCAAACTAGAGAGACTCTCTACGTCATTAGATAAATCGATGGAGCTTTTTTCTGTAGGTCAGATCTTGCGTTTGCTTGTGCTCCATAGCTCTTCCTTTCTGCAAAGCAACTCTGTTTGAAGAAAGAGTTGCTTGGAGATATTATTTCTTTTTTAGGGGAGAAGAGGAGTTGAGATCTTCTTGTGCACTCGAAGAGATTTTCTTGCTTCCTACTAAATTGGAGCTTTTGGCGAATGGTCCTTTGACCAGGCAAATGGAGAAGGCAGTACGTTTGATTCTTACTGTGAGTGCATCACTTCACTTCTATATATATATATATTTTTTTTAAATATCGTGTGAGTTGGGCCTTTTTTTTTTGCAATCTTTTATATGCAGGCCCACATTCTCTGCAAGTGGAAGGTTGAGGAGAAGGAGATTTCTAAGCTGTGGCTTTTCCAAAGGTACCATTCAATCCTCTAGATGATTGATAGAGAGGTGCGGTCCATTCGAACAAAAATGGAAGGGAGATTAAAGGACATGAAGGAATCCCTAGTGAAAGTCTTTCATGAGTGGAGGGTACTTGTGGTCCAGTAGTTGGAGGCAGTTTGAAATCTGGAGGAGATAGAGAAGGTCTCCGAAAGAGATTTGGAGAATAAACGAGAGAGACTATGGTAACTTATGAGAGGGATGCTGATAAGGAGAAAGCAGTTTATTTTTTAAGGCTATTGGAGATCACCTCGATGAGTTTTATAAGATGTTTAAAGCATGATTTAAAAAAACGACCGTTAAGTAATGTAACAGTTATTATATATCGATAACGAGGCATCCTGTTACTATTATTCGACGTTATGAGTGTCCCAATGCCGTTTTACATAGATAATGACAAATAACAATATTACAAAAAAGGCTAGAATTTCAGCCATTTCAGCTGCTGAAATTCCGACAATGATGAAAGGTAGAGAGGGAGAGAGGCAAGCACTAGGCAAAGACGAGAGGATGAGGCAGAGAGGGAGGAAGTTTTTGAGCAAAAAGGATAAGGTAGAGTGGGAGAGTTTTGGGTGCTATAAAATGAGAGGAGAGAGGAACTTGGAAAGACGAGAGGTAGAGAGGCAGATTTGGGTGATATCAAATGATAATAGAAAAGAGAGGAACTTGATAAAAAGAAAAAACCTTTTATTTTGAAAGCCAAGAGACCACGTGAATGATTTCATATCAAATGCCTGCATTTACGGGTTTTTATTGAATAAATTGTCAATTAGTCCTCTTATTTTGAAATAATAATTTAGTTAGTCCTTTTATTTTTAAAATCAATAATTTATTTATCTTGTTCATTTTATATTTTTTAATTTATATTTTTTGTTTTAAAAAATATAAAAAGGAAAAAATAAATTTATACCATAAAAAAGATTGATGAAAAAAATATTTTATATAATAAAATATAGTATATTAAACATGATCAATAATGATTAAAAGATTAAATAATTAGTTTTTAAAACATTAAAAGCTAATTAATTTATTTATTAAAACTCGAAAGAATAATGTATGATTTAATCTTTTATTATTCTACTTTTACTGTCTTGCATGCACAAATTCAAAGGCTCTAAAGTAAATGTTGCTTTAATTGAATAAATTATAAATTAGTCTTTTTAGTTTGAAAAAAATATTAGATGATCTTTATTGTTTTAAAAACTTACTATTATTTTTTTAATTTTATGTTATTTTCTAATTTGATTTTCAAAACTACTTATGGTTGTAATTTTGATGGACAAGAATCACAACATCAACAATAGAATGATAACTATTATTATAATTCACCACGATGATTATTTTAAAGATAAATATTTTGTAATGTGTTTATTGAAATTTAATATATTTTATTATTATTTTTTATGACATTTATCTATTACAAGTGTTATTAACTATTTTTTTTTAATAAATTCAATTATTGTTGTATGATATTAAACTATTAAAGATGTTATTACTTATTAGTACGCTTAATTAGTAAAAATGTTAAAAATATATGAATTAGAACAAACCTATTAACGATTGTTAATGTATTCACAACATTAGTTGCCGTGATCATTATTTTACTATCGTAATAAATCACGATCACGATCGTAATCGATTTTTCAACCACAATCACTATTTAAAACTATAGTTCAAAGAACTTATGGGCTAGTTAACACCTCCCGTAACCCGATGTCGGAGGTCTCGAGGATGTTTACTTCTTCAACAAGTCTAAGAATATAGACGTTGATCTCTTCCAATGCTTCCCTAGTGGGTCCATTCTTAACTTTGCGGAGCTATCTCCTCTTTGGGCATTGCCTACCATAAAAGAGAGATATATCCCTAAGGATCGGACGTTTTTCTCTTCTCCTAGCAAAAAAGAAGGTATTGAGGACAAAGTTATCCATTTTTCTCCTCTTTCTTTTGCCGTGAGCCTCTAGTTATTTAATGAGCGGTGCATCCTATTGACTTCCGGTCATTCGTCTTCTTCTTTAAAGAAATCTTTAGTTTCATTTGTGGCGCACTCGCGTGCCCTCGAGTGTTTAGAGAGAGGCTCGGAGTAAACTAAACGTTTGGAGGAGACTAGGTTGTGTTTTGTTAAAGTTTGCATCAGCTGCTGCAGAATTGGTTCACAAGACTTAGTCATGTCTTTTAGCTATTTTTAGTTTCTTTGACTATTTCATTGATGCATCTGCTCGTTAGTGGTAATATTTTAGGAGTTTGTTAGTCATGTGAATGTGTCAGTCTTAGTTGCTTAAGTTTCGATTTTCAGTTGAAGTTTTTTCTGTATTTAAGCTCATGATCAGTTCAATAAAAAATAGACTTTCCAAGCACACATTTTATGCTATTCTTGCTTTCTATCTCTGTTGCTTTTTGTTCTTAAAATACAAATTTGCTTTAAAACTCCTACAAAGTGGTATCAAAGCTTTTCTTCGAGGGACTTGTAAGGAATTTGTGTGTGAACCCACCAAAAGCAATGGATGCTCGGACAAACTAGTTCGAAACTTCATTTATTGCCATTGCACCACCCGTGTTCAATGGTGAAAATTATCGAGTTTCGGCTATAAGAATGGAGGCTTACCCGGATGCAAATAATCTTTGGGAGGTCGTTGAGTAAGACTACGAAGTTCTTCCATTACCAAACAATCTAACAAGTAGCTCGGATCAAAAGTCACAAGGAGAGGAAGGTAAGAAAGTCCAAGGCAAAGGCCTCGTTTGTTTGCTCGCTATCTCATCCGCAATCTTCACCAGGATCATGACTCGAAGTCGGCCTTTAAAATCTGGAATTTTCTCAAGAAGGAGTATGAAGGAAATGAGAAGATCAAAGGGATGCAAGTGATGAATCCGGTGAGAGAGTTTGAAATGCAAAAGATGAAGGAGTCCGAAACTATCAAAGAGTATTCAAATAGGCTACTTAGCATTGTGAACAAGGTACAATTACTTGGTTCTGAATTTTCTAACACAAGAATTGTGCAAAAAATTCTTGTTACTATACCCGAAAGATTTGAGGCTACCATTTCTTCCTTGGAGAATGCTAAGGATCCGTCAAGAATTGGCTTGGCGGAATTGATATATGATTTGCGAGCACAAGAGTAGAGAAGGATCATGAGGAATGAAGGGTACTGTTGAAGGAGCTTTGCCGACAAAGGTGCAGCCAAACCAGGGAGGAAAAGGAAAGAAGAAAAAGGAAGGTTTATGTTCGATTCTCCAAATATTAGTAAGGGAACAAAGTCCGACTTTCCTCCTCGAAAGTATTATGAAAGGAAGGGTCATCCACCCTTCAAATTCCGGAGGAAACCGGACCAACGAATGTGAGAAATGTCGAAGATAGGACACCATCGGAAAATTTATAAGAGCAATCCACAACAAAGAAATGTGACTCAAGTCAACTTTCAACGTAAAAATGTTGCACAAGTTGCAAATCAAGAAGAAGAGGAGGAGCAACTCTTTGTTGCATCCTGTTTTGCAACAAGTCGTACAAGTGACAAGTAGCTTGTTGATAGTGGTCGCACAAACCACATGACATTTGATCGAGAACTCTTCAAGGAGCTAGACACATCAGTAACTTTGAAAGTTAAAATTGGCAATGGAGAGTACATTGCAGTTAATGGAAAAGGCACAAGTGGCAATTGAAAGTATTTCGAGTACAAAGCTTATCAAAGATGTGCTATTTGTACCTAATATTAGTCAAAATTTGTTGAGTGTTGGCCAGCTGCTAGAAAGAGGATTCAAGGTGATATTTGAGGGCAACCAATGCTTGATCAAAGACTCAAAAGATGAGGAGGTGTTCAAAGTGAAGATGAAGGGAAAAAGCTTTGCACTAGATCCATCGGAGGAGGAACAAGCAGCCTTCTCTCGCAATAAAAATCACTGCAGAGATATGACACAAGAGATCGGGTCACTTCAATCATGCAATTGTTATGAATTTGCATAAGAAAGAGTTGGTTCAGTGGCTACCTCAACTTGAAGCAAACATACCGGATTGCAAAGCTTGCAAGTTTGGCGAGCAAGCAAGGCTTCCTTTTAAGCAAGCAACTTGGAGGGCTACTAAAAAGCTTCAATTGATCCACACAGCACTGGCTGGACCTTAAAGAACTTCTTCTCTCAATGGGTGTAAGTACTACATAATCTTCATTGATGATTTTAGTAGGATGTGTTGGATTTATTTTCTCAAGTTCAAGTCGAGGTTGCATGTGTGTTTTGGAAATTCAAACAAGTGGATTAAAACTCAAAGTGGCTATAAAATTCAAGCCTCGAGGTCCGACAATGGGAAGGAATACACATCCGAACAATTCAATTTGTTTTGTGAAGAAGTAGGAATTGAGCACCAACTTACAGCTCCATATACTCCATAGCAAAATGGAGTCGATGAGAGGAAGAATCGTACCATAATGGAGATGGCAAGATGCTTGCTTCATGAAAAAGATTTGCCAAAGGAGTACTGGCGGAGGCCGCAAATACTGCTCGTTTTTCCGCCGAACAGTCGCCCACCAAAGTCGTAGATGGAAAGACTCCTTTTGAGGCTTGGTATGGTTATAAACCTTCTCCG